CAGATGTTGTTATTGTAACGGGGTCGTAATACTACTTTATTGTCAGGAAAACCTTTATTTAAACCCTTTTTATTTTACAGTCAAACCTCGCCACAGCGAATTTCTTGTTACAACGGATTTAAATATTGGCACATTTTTTTATTAATTAAAAATGTTTGTCATAACGGATTTTATTAATAAATTTGTTCCACGACGTTAACGGATTTTTGAATAGGGAATTTCATAGGTAAAGTTACATATTTTTGGATGTGATATGAAAATTTCAGGGTAAAATTATCAAGCTTTTTGAGGTTAAAAATGGTCATTCTCGCTAATTGAGTGCCCTATGACCTTTAATATGATTGTCCGGGGCCCTATGCGATACTATAATTCGGGTAAATAGAGAATTAAATTTAAATCCAAATAAGAAAAAAATCACTTCATGGGTTTACTGACTAGCCCATTTTTGGTTATTTACTGTAAATTATTCCCTAAACAGAGCAAATTAACAAGTAAATAATTTATTACATACATGTAACATGTGTGTATTACTAATTAATTTCCGCTTAAGGTAGTTTAAACAGTCAAGAGCGGATTTTATTTAGCCGCGACTAAACACACTTTCAAAAATCACCGGGATAAAATGTAGATCACTTAGTATTAAATTTTAACAAGTCGAAGTTTAATGTGAAAAAGGTATATATAGTAATGTGTGTGTGTGTGTACCAAAAATTTTTATCGAAATTACGAAAATGTCAACGATTGGAAAAGTAATAATAATCATATCCTTTTGTTTTTCTTATGCAAAGAAACAAAAAGATTAATTAATAAAATTATATTTTTTTCTACATATAAAAATAAAAAGACTATAAGATGTAAAGCTGCAGTAACGTGGGATGCAGATAAATTAAGTAAGTTTTATTATTATTATTATTATTATATTTGAGATAAAAAAAGAAGGAAAGGAAATGTATTTTTTTTTTTTGTTTATTATTGGATTGTCTTATCGTCGTCGTCTCGTCGTCGTCATCATCGTTATTATTATTACTTTAAAAAATTTTTTTTAAAAGGCATCTAAGAAGTTGAAATAGCTCCTCCAAAGGTACAAAATAACGATGTGCTTCTTTCTCAAAAATCTTTCTTATTTTTTTTAAAAAAATATCAATGATGACGACAACAACGAACAATAACAGTAATAGTAGTAGTGATAACAGCATTTTACTTTATTTTGAAAAATATTATAGGATAAAGAAGTTCGTGTCAAAATCGTGGCTGCTTCTATGTAATTTAATTTTTTAATCTAAATTAACCCAATTATAAAATTAATTAATATACCTATGTACATACACACATACACTATAGATGTCATACTGATATGCGACATATTCACGGGAAAAGTAAGAATAATTTTCCATGCATATTGATATATATATATATATATATATATACCGTAAGGTCTCAATATCATCCCTCAAAAAGATAGCACCCTTGTTAAGGGTTGAACGAGACCTTACGGTATATTTATTCCTCATACGACTGATGCAAAACAATTTATATATGTACATATACCGAAATTAATTATATATACATATGAAGCTGCTTTTTTATGGCCAATTATACATGGCCACGAAGGTTCAGGAATAGTTGAATCGGGTAAAATTTGAAAAGTTTTTTATCTACCTGACTATCACGCCTACTTGCTTCACAATTTATCAAAAAACA